AGGAATTCAACAAATCAAAATGGTCTTGAAATCACAGTTTGAATTCAACCATGAACAGAGTAAAGTGATCTATTTTTGCATGCTTTGAAATTTCACTGTCAGGGGGAATCGAAACACAACATCCCACCTTCCCTCATTTCCAGGCCTAGGATTGGCTAGCAAGCTTTTGGATACACACTGAAAAAACCTTTAAATGACAGGACATGCTAAGCAGCCTCTGGACTGTGGCGCGAATGGTAAAGGATGCATTGAACGCTCAAAGGTGTGCAGTCGTGTGACCAGTTGAAAATAATGACACGGAATTATGTGGATAGGAGAAATGCCAATAAAGCCCTATGTTCCACTGGGAAATAAGAGAGATAGACTCCATGTATAATCAAAATAACACAGGATGATGAGAGTTAGTCAGCAAAATATGCTGTTTGATCACGGTTTCAGTTTTGTTTGAAGTCATCAGCAAGATATGTCCACAACCTTGAGAAGACTTACATACAACTTCTGAAATTTGAGTTTTCATTATTTCGTGCTGACGCCATAAATTTAATACTATAATATTCAAATCTTCAGTAAACCTTTGTAAAACTGAGTCAAGTATATAAATTTGAGACATTATAGTAACCACTTTGTTGGTCGTAACAGACAACGTTTGTCAATGAAGGCATGCAGATGTTAAAGTAATCCAAGGACATGATATTTAGTTCGTCAAATTAATGAGAAAATCCACATTGGTAGAAGTTAGAATTCATCGGCCATTGGATTCCGTCCCAGTAGCTTAATGGGTTCGACCGTGGTGGGATTAGGGGTGCGTGTTACTGAAGAGTGCCAATCTACATCGAAACGCCTGTTCAGTACTTCCTGTGGTTCTCAAACTGACATCATTCCATGGTGAAACTTGAAACAAATCAATTCCGTACAAACTAACTTTTGACTGGCGGGCTGCTCAACACTTGGGCTACTGAAAAAAAAACCTCCATCAATAAATTGCATTTAAATGTTTCTTATTCACTTTGCTTAAATCTGGTATAATATGACCTTCAATAGTATTGTTTACTCTGACGAGTATTTAAAACATTTTCAACCTGCTGATTCACAAGTTGAAAAAGCGTTATCCTCGATTGCAGCTTATGCAAAAGTACAAGAGATGACCGTCCTTGAGTTTTGTCGTAGGTCCTAAAAATATACTTCAGAACTTTTTATAATTGGCATTCAACAAAGTTTATTTCTCGAAGGAGACAAAGAAGAGGTATCAAATAATGGATTGGTTTATTTTTCATCTCAGACAGAACTGTGTCACACTGTACATTATATAAACACTGTTTCAGAATAGACTTGTTAATATTATTACTATTAAAATTAATTCATATCCCCACCAAAATCCATAATCTAAATATCAATCTCCAATTTATTAGCGGTAGCTACTGGATGGATGTCGTGAAGTTGTAATGAGACATCGTGGCCATTGGATTCCACCGTGTCAGAACGAAATAACAAAAGTGAGAGTACACGCGTCACTGAATTCTATTCAAAGTGGCTAAAAGTTCAAGAAACCTGGCCTGGTAAGCAGACGATCCGGGGTTCAACCTCAGGTGGGGTTGTGGGTACGCCTTGATGAAGGGTTTCAAGCACTCTTTTTAAACCGACGTTTTTGTGCAACCGATTTTGCTATCGTTATATAAAATAGCAAAATTATGTACACCTTATCTTCAAATCACCATTTGCACAGATCTTTTGTGTTGTGCTACTTCTGGCCTTCATATTGTGTTCCTTTCACGTCGCCACCTATGTTTCTGTATCATTTGCTTTCTCTGATGCGAAATCTATCTGCCTGTTATATTTGATTTTTTTTATGTGGAAGAATATCTCTACTGATAAATGTTATCAGTAGCACATGCCGAAACCTACATCGTAATCAATAAAAATCAATACAAAATCCATATTTTAAATGATCGAACACATTTATCGTCTATTCTTTTTTATATTAATTTGATTACTGAATAATATCATTTAATGAAACAGTATTATTTACTGGATAACGAAGTTATGAACACACATCTAATTGATGTTAGATGGTTGAAGGCAATCGGCCACAGGAAGCCCTACCTACCTGACTTAGGTTTCGTGCTTGTTGCCACTCATATTCAAGGTGCATCTGGAATCATCTTGAACGAACTCATGTTACTCCTTATGAGATTCGAACCTGCATCACCCGGTGCTGGAGTCAGAGACGTTAATTATTATTATTGTTCCCTTGGGTTCTTCCTAGTGGAACATAGGGCTTCAACTACACGTCTCCACTTGCTTCTGTCTTCTGCTGTACTTTTCATCTGCATCCATGTTAGTCCACACTGTTTCAACTCCTCTTCACACAATCTCCTCCATGTCAACCTTGGACGTCCCACTCGCCGATTCCCTTTCGGGTTCCACTCGTGCACTGGCCTGACGCGCGATGTGACTGAGCGGCCTCCTCAGCGAGTGTCCAATCCACCATCTCCACTTTCTCCTGCAAATTTGTTGAGCGATTGGTTCTTGGTTTGCTTGTTCCCATAGTTTCTTGTTGGTGATGCTTTCCGGCCATCTGATCTTCAGTATAGAGCCAGCGAAGACAGTTGTTGATAAAGGTCTGCAACAGGCCGTTGGAAATATTCTTTGTGACCCTGCCAAGTTTCTGATCCGTTATAGAATAACTGACTGACTTGACGTTTGTATTGGAAATCCGAATTTTGTCAGAGACGTTACCACGAAGTTATTCGGGCTCGTGATTGACCTACTGGGTGACGCGAATTCGAATCTCAGAAGGGATATGAGTTACAGATACGCCTTGCTGATAGAACGAAACCCTTGATCAGGTAGGACTTCCTGCCGATTGCCTCCAACCATCTAATATCAAGAATTCATAGTGCTCCAGGAATGGTAACCACATTGCAAACTCGACTGACTGATGGAATTCCGGTCTACACTAAACAAAGGACTAGATACATCACATTAGCTTCTAGTGTCCAATGAAAGTACACAATAAAAAAATCAAAATTGAAATTAAACAATTCCAAAGTGTTCAAGTTATATATATATATATATATATATATATATATATATATATAGAGGCATAGCTAGTCCGATAGTCTGATACCTTTACTGTTTGTGATGTGTCAACCTGAATACTAATTTTCAATATTACCTTAGTTCCATAGGACCTATCCGGCTTGTGTGTGTATGTGTTGTCACATTCGAATTATTCAACTCCATCAATACTCACTGCTACTTCTGTGTGCAATATTATGTTTATACTATCGAATTGTAATCCATTGACATTATTATTATTGATTCGACTTTATTTAGATAGCATTTATGTTGTTAATAACACTAATATCAGGATTAATAGCTGAAGCCGTTATACTGCAAAGATTAGAATTAAAGCTCTAGTTACCCACAATTAAACCAAAACTATGTGTACGTTACATTTCTTACAGTTAAAGCAAATGATTTGGAATATACACACACAAATTAATAAACAACATATTTGAAGACATTAAATTCACCACGAGAGAGAAGAAGAATTAGACGACAACAAAATCCCATTTTTAGATGTTTTAATCGGGAGAACTAACAAAGGAAATTTAGAAACACAAGTATGTATAGAAAATCAACGAACACACATAGATCAAATACTCAACTATACTAGCAATAACCCAATTATCCACAAAAGAAACTGTGTGCAGACATTGTTTAAAAGAATTCAACTTATGCTTCCCCACCAAGCTTTACCGGTAAAACGTACAGCCGATTGTCTATTATCGAATATGACTCGGTATTTCTCTGCAAAAAGAAAGAAGGCTGAAAGCAATTCACTCCCGCGGCTGAAACGCCTTTGAAACCGAATTTTAATGATTTTGTTTAAAGTAGAGTTTATCAAATAAGACGTACAAGCGAAAACCGACAAACTGGTCGAATAAGCAGCAAAGACAGGACTCCAGGTGAACATAGACAAGACGGAGGTTATGAAAATAACCAACCAACACAACAACAACAACAGCAGCAACATCCAGCGCCAATCACCATCAACGGGAGGGATTTGAAAGAGGTTACTTCATTCACTCACTGATCTAGGGAGCATTGTCTCAACTACAGGAGGAACGGACGAGGATGTCAAATGGAGAATCAAGAAGGCGAGAAACACATTCATCAACCTGAAACCAATCTGGAAATCTTCCGCTGTCACTCAGCCTGCATCAACAACAAAGTGATTCGGATTTTCAGTACAAACGTCAAGTCAGTCAGTTCTTCTATACGGATCAGAAACTCGGCCAGTGGGTCACAAAGAATATTTCCAACAGCCTGTTGCAGACCTTTATCAACAACTGTCTTCGCTAGCTCTATACTGAAGATCAGATGGCCGGAAAGAATCACCAACAAGAAACTATGGGGACAAACAAAACAAGAACCAATCGCTCAACAAATATGCAGGAGAAAGTGGAGATGGATTGGACACTCGGTGAGCAGGCCACTGGGTGATATCGCGCATCAGGCCAGTGCTCGAGTGGAACCCGAAAAGGAAGCGGCGAGTGGGACGTCGAAGGGTGACATGGAGGAGATCGTGTGAAGAGGAGATGAAAGAGTATGGAATAACGTGGATGCAGGTGAAAAGTACAGCAGAAGACAGAAGCAAGTGGAGACGTGCAGTTGAAGCCCTATGTTCCACTAGGAACCCAAGGGAACAATAATCATAATAATTCATTCATTCACTATTATGGATGAAGAACATATAACTGTAGAACCTGATGATGAAGAATAGGTTATCGGGAAAGAATACTCTTCCTTCAGTTGATGAATCAGTCTTTTGAAAAAGAAACAAATGACTGTAATCAAAATCACGATTTCAATTATTTAATTTATAATACATTTATGATATATACCAGTGAACAGTAACAGTAATAATAATAATATAATAAATGCAATATACATTCTAATCAAGTTGAGTGTGTGCGGTTTTTTAAAAAGAAAAACGTTTTGTTGAAGAATGATGAATACGTACAGAAATAAGCATTGCAAAGATGTGTGTGTCATTAGTTCAAGTTTCCTGTGAGCAAAAAAACAAAAAAAGAAAAAATCCTCCCTCCGTCCACGCCGGTAGTGTGTAGAGAGGTTTTACAAAGACGATGGAGGGGGGTGGGGAGACTTAATAAACTACGACGATTAACGATGACTGCTGCAAAGTGTTGCTGTTCACCTTGTTAACTTTGAGACATTATTATTATTACTACCATGTATTCCATATTTATTACTTGTCTTTATTATTAGTAGTATTACTGTCTTCGTGAAGAATGGAGTTCAGTGTCTGAAGAATATCATCTGGGATCTGAAAATAAATACACACAAACAAAAAATAAAAATGAGAAATATTTGTGATTTGTTTGAAAACAAGTAATAATAATAATAATTAAAAAACGGTTCAATGAATAAAAACGCATCAAAACGCGCCCAATAATACCAACAACGGAAGCAGAGCTACCACCATCAGTGGACATCAACCCTCCGACGAGAATATAAGTCCGGAAGGCAATCAAGATGCTTAAAATTGGAAAAGCAGTAGGATCAGACGGAAGCTCATTGCAACACTCCCACCTTAAGGAAAAATGAAGAAAGATAATTCATGGACGTCTTCCAAAAGAATGGATTCCCATGGAACTTCATCAAAAAACATATACCCCCAAGCCAACCTATCAAATCAAAGGCCTCCAAGGAAAGCACAAAGAAAATCGCCCTACCACATATAAAGGACATCTCAGAAATCATTGAGAGATTCTTCAAACCTTTAGGAATTGACTTCGCACACAAACCAACAAAATTACTTCACTCAGCTGGCTGGCTCTATGTCAACCAAAAGACTCAACAACGAAAGAAGATAAAAAATCATCTACAAAATAAATGATAACAACTGCGAAAAACACTACATTGGCCAAAGTGGATGTCCGCTTCGTCTTCGTATCCATGATCGTAAGTTAACCTCAAAAGACGTGACATCTACTCCCTCATATCATTATATACAAACAACCACGGATATCAATTCGACTGGGACAACCAACGTTCAAATATTAGACAGAGGAAACACACCAATAATGCTAGAGAATTTTTAAAAGCCCGTCTGGTATTCCAGTGAATCGTCAATTAACAGGCACATTGAAGTAGACAACCTCACACACAAAGGGTCAAACTTCAGGTCAAGGAAGCAATCAGCACCAATACCAATACAAGTAGCCTAGAGGATGTGAAAACACACGAAAACAACCAATGACGACGTTCAAGGTAACCACTCACCAGGAGAGACTGACTAATAAACTCATGAAGAAATAAATCTAAAAGCTCACTTCATTTCAAATTGAAGTATGCACTGAAGATGTTGCCTAGCGGTGGGGCAATGAAAGCTTCACCTCAGAGAACACAACCACATCAGAAAGATCCTAGGTTCAAATACCGATCCAAATACTTTAGAGTCTGGGTGACTGAATAGTATCATAACATCCCACTCACACACACAGAGAATAAGTGTGACTTATAGCTTGGATAATGAGAATGAAGCTCCGGGTAGGTAGGTCCTAACAACCATAAAGTAGGACACAGTAGGAGATCATTTCAATGTACACTCAAGACATGATAAAATTTAGTTGAGATATGAATCTGTTTCTGATTTCTCATAAATTGGAAGATATGCAAGCGAAAAGCAACAAGTTGGCGATAGAAGAAGCATCAAACATAGGACTTCAGGTGAACATAGATAAAACAGAGGTGATGAAGATTTCTGGACAACACCACCAACAACAACAGACAACGATCAGCATAAATGGAAGGAACCTAAGAGAAACAACCTCTTTTACCTACCCACCTGGGAAGCATCGTCTCAACTACAGGCGGGACTGACGAGGATATCAAAGCAAGAATCGAAAAAGCAAGACAAGCTTTCATTACACTCAAGTCTGTGTGGAGGTCAACAGCACCCAACATCAAAAATGACATCCGGATTTTCAACTCTAATGTGAAATCAGTGCTACTCACTATACGGATCAGAGACTTGCACTGCGCGTCATAAAGACCATCTCAAACAAACTACAGACCTTCATTAACAGTTGTCTTCGCTCAATACCACTCAAGATCAGATGGCCGGCCGGCCAGAAAAGATCAGCAACAGAGATCTCTGGCAATGAGCGAACCAACACAGCAGGAACCGATTGTGAAACAAATAGGCAGGAAGAAATGGAGATGGATTGGCTGGCCATACTCTGAGAAAACGAACCATCAAGTGACATCACTAGACAAGTCATTGCTCGAGTGTAACCCGAATGAAAGGGAAGCGGCGAGTTGGTCGTCAGTGCAAGGGTGACTTGGAGGAGGTCATGTGAAAAGGAGATGAAAGCGTATGGGGCAGACTTGGAGCCAGGTGAAGACTGTAGCAGAGAACCGAACGCAATGGAGACGCACGGCTGAAGCCCTATATTCCTCTAGGAATTAAAGCAAACAATAATAAATAATAATAAATCTGTTTCAGGTCGATAAATGAAATCGGATCTGTCTGTTCGTCAAACACACAACTTAAAATAAACAAATCATTATGTTTTGAAAGATTACGTAACGGTTATTCAATTCGATCAACACTAACAAAATATAGCAGGAATAGAGAGGGAGAGACACACGCACAGAGAGAGTAAGTAACAGGCCAAATTACCTTATCAGATTTCGCTAAATGACTTCTAATCAGCTGAACAGTTGACGGAGCGATCGATTTCAACAAATCTTTATTAGAAGCCATTGATGAAGCCATTGTACGTATTAAACCAGTCAGTTTGTTACTTGCTACAGGGGATTCCGCTGTAAAAACAACAACAACAACAACAAAATAAATATGCATACGGAATAGGAACACGATTCAGAAATTTAACCAATCACAGTTGAGCATTTTGAAATCCTCCAACACTGTACACCCATAACCCTCTCTCTACTATAGAGAACGAGTCCATGGGATTCAGGTCGTAAGATGAATCATATTATTATGATAATAGGTTGCAAACAAATCACCTATGAAATGATTCACGACGCAGCGCGTCATCTTCAACATAAGTTATCACTCATCTCACTACTAGACACGCATTGAAGTTAACCAGTAATAAGTAAATGCGTCGGTGGCACAGCGGTAGAATGCTCACCAACCACGCCTGATGTGGTTCGAGGTTCGATCTCCAGCCGACACACTCCTTTACCTCCGTCACTGAGCCAGTAATAAGACTGGTAAAGAAGTAAGGTCGAACATGAGGCTAGCAACCTCATTCCCTAGAAATAAACATCACTGCTACTGAAACTTCAAGCCTGTACCTTGAAGTAATATGTTCCGCGGGGGAAGTAAAGGAATCAACACACAAAGAAAAAGTAATGAGCAAGTTGGATGGATGAAAGCCCACAAGAAACAGCTGTCGAGTAGTTTCTTGAGCACATAGTGTGGTTCGTGAGATGAAATCCACCAGTATTCACGCATAGATGAGTGAAATTCTTACATAAAGAAAAAGTAACTTCTCATTCCAACTGAAAAAACACGTTCATGTATCTTTATTAAATTAATTGTAAGGTAAGCTACAAGGAAGATAACAAGATAACAGCGCCCATACTTCGTGTAGAAAAACGGATCATTAGAAGAAAGATAAATATCTCTAACTAAAAAATTAGGAGCGTGCAGACCTATGAAACAAATGCACAATACACTGGAGAAAAAACATCAATGAATACAAAATTACGTCACAGTCCTATTACTGCCTAAGTGTAATATCACACTGTGGTTACTGAACAGGAGAAAAAAGGTTTTCACACTCAACACATTCTAGCGGAAGATGTTTAGCATTTGAAACAAAGGGGTGGGGGTTTGGGTTCTAGGTTTCTGTCTCATTGGAAACACTATCATTTACTGTGGTCGAACGCTTCAAGCAGCTGACGAATCCTGAACACGATGACACAACGATTGTGAATTCTACTTTTAGGCTACCGGTAAGAAACAAGGAAGGCTGCATACGAAATCAAATACGTATTTTCGACACTACCGTTACGCCAAAGCTTCTAAATACAGTTCAGAGACTTGGTGTATCACTCTAAAAGCATTTCCAACAGCCTGTCGTAAATTTTCATCAACAGCTGTCTTCTCACTGGCTCCACACACTGAAGATTAAATTTCCATAAAGGATTAGCAGCAAAAAAAGAACAAACAACTCTGACAATGAATCAACATAGAACCTATCACGCAACAAATATGCAAAAAAGAATGAAGGCAGATTCCGTGACTGTTGAGTGTCGTATCATACCGTATAATCCGTCAGAGTCCTTCTGTGGTGAGAGCTGGCTGCTAGCCAAAATTGGTAGACAGCAGCAATTTACAGCAATGTTTATGTCCCAAATATTGGTCATGTGAAAAGAACAGCAGACTTTGCGTAGGCGGATAGAATTAGTCTTCGGTTTAGTGCTAGATAAGGAGGGAAAATCAATCGACGAGGCTGTGAAATTACATCGACTGCATGAGCTGGTTTGGACATGTGTTACGTATGGCTAGTCATCGCCTTCCTCGACTGACGGGCAATGTTAGCTGATATAGGGTCAGGCTGGAAAAGAGCTAGCGGCGGTCCTAACCGCTTTGCTACTGACGCACACATACAGTTCAGAGACTTGGTGTATCACTCTAAAAGCATTTCCAAAACAGCCTGTCATGAATTTTCATCAACAGCTGCCTTCTCACTGGCTCCACACACTGAAGATTAAATTGCCATAAAGAATTAGCAGCAAAAAAAACAAACAACTCCGGCAATGAATCAACAAAGAATGAAGGTAGATTCCATGACTGTTGAGTGTCGTCATGCCGTAGTCCGTCGAGTGGAACCTGAATGAAAAAAGACGAGTTCAGAGTCCTACTGTGGTGAGAGCTGGCTGCTAGCCAAAATTGGTAGACAGCAGCAATTTACGTCAATGTTTACATCCCAAATAGTGGTCATGTGAAAAGAACAAGAACAGTAGACTTTGCGTAGGTGGATACAATTAGCAGATAGATAATCTCAACTTCAAGAAACAGCCACAAAGAAAGATGAAAGATTAACTTTCAGTGAGAAACAACCACCAATCAGAAGACTGTGTTTGTCTGCTAACAATAATCTATAATAGTGTACATGAAAATCTATAAATATGTGTTGATTTCGTTAATAAACGATCTGGTCCTTGCCTGGTCCTTGTCTTCTGTTGTTACACTTCAATGACATAAAGAAGGTCATTTGAAGAGGAAACGACAGCTTATGGGCAATCGTGGAGTCAGCCAGCTGAAGAGACTGCAAAGAAGAGAGTGAAATGTGAAGGTGTACTTTTGAAGTCCTATGTTCCACTCAGAACCTAAAGGAATAATAATAACAATAGTGATATTATGTAATACATCATACAGTATCAATGCATATACACATACCTGCAACACGTAAACAATTATCCAAGAAATCAGGAATATGCTCAGGATCAGTAGTTTTCATAAATTCAAGTGTTGACAGGAAAGAAGATTCCGTCAGTGGATATCGAGAACTACCAGCCAAAAACGTTGGTGATATAGGTTCAATAATCTGAAGAATTAAGAGATAATGATACAAATCGGGCTTGTTAATTGTTTTGACTAATAAGTTATATACTTACTTTTCAGAGTACAAATTAAGTTATTTACCGCGTTCCTAGTAATTTATCTAGAGGAGCTCGACTATGTGTTCTATCAGTAGCTGAAGCGATTGCAATTAATACCAGAAGACTTCCTGCCGATTGCCTCCCACTATCTAATATCATCAGAAGACCATCTCTTTGCATACAGAAGAAGTATGTTCAACCATTATGTTTACCTTGGCCTACAATAAAGCCAACAAATCCTCCTTTAACACTATAAATTCCTTTCACAATTTTCTTTTCTTTTCTGCTTCTTCTATTCCTCTGTTTCATTGACAAACGTTCATTTTCGACTTTTATGATTTCATGACCTTTCTTATGATTTTATTACCTTAGGTTTAAGTAGTGCTTTTCTAACTTGTTATCGTATTTACAAAATCCTGCTCATTTTACTTCATTATATTCATCATTATTATTATTTGACAATCATTCACCAATAGTGCTTGTAATTTTACACCATATCATCGTTATTATTATTTTACAATCATTCTTATTGTCGTTATTTTCAACCTTGAACTTATGTCTAGTCCGCCCCATTCGTTAGTTTATTTTCATATTGTCTCTCACACACCCTGATTACACTCACTCTTGGAACCGGTATTTTCTGTTGACTATATTTATATATATACACACATCATTAAATTAAATTACTTCATCTCATTTTGTCCCATGTTCTCATTGACCATGCATATTAAAAAACTAACTGACTATTGTTCCATCCCATCTTACTTATACTTGTTCCACAATACACTTTCTGATATGATTCTAATTCGCCTCTACTGGAGGGCTACTGTATGTGTAAATTAATGGATTTAAATTGTAGAGCCTGAAGAATTTATTGAAACTACAATTGTTCGCTCCAAATATTTTGTTCTGAATAAATTATGGGAATATTCAATTTAAGTGAAATAGATTAGATAATATTGATTTCATCTAATATATAACGTTATTTAGACATTAGATTCGGCTATTAGCCGCCAGCCAACATCGGTTGAGCAAGCACCTTTTGCAAATGCTGTCGGTGTCACACAACAGACGCTATTGGTTAAGAGGCTACACTTACTCGACCACTGATAGCATAACCTCAATCTAATTGGTCAATTTTTATTCTGAAAGCTTGCACAAAAGTAAGAAGCCTAGAGAGGCACGGCCTCCTGTCAACTGTTGTCAACCATGTCACACCAATTCAAAGTGCACCATGGTTACTAGTCAGCAACAAGCTCGGCGGCGGTGGCTGATACAATTCAGTTAAGCATCTAATGATCAAAAGAAAGTTATCTAAATAACCCAGTAGTAACGTTTCTGCAACCCGTCCAGAAATACCAACAACAGCGCGTACATAACTGCAAGTTGACACCAATCCTCCAACGAAAGCTGAAGTCTTGAATGCAACCAAGCTTCTGAAAGATGGAAAAGCAGCTGGACCAGATGGAATACCCTCTGAAGAACGGAAAACGGACCCAGAGACGACAGCAGATATGCTGACGCCATTATGGCAAAAAGTCTGGAAGGAGGGAAAGGTGCCTACTGACTGGAGAAAAGGTTACCTTCTGAAACTACCAAAGAAGGGCGACTTAGGATTCTGCAAGAACTGGCGAGGAATCATGCTCCTGTCGAAGCCAAGTAAAATTCTGAGTCCTATCACCCTGGAAAGAATAAAGGACGCACTGGATGCAGAATTCTGACCAGAAAAAGCTGGATTCAGGAAAGACAAATCATGTTCTGACCTAATTGCAACTCTACGCATCATCATCGAACAAAGCATGGAATGGCAATCAAATCTCTACCTCAACTTTATAGACTTTGAGAAGGCCTTCGACAGGGTTGACCGCGAAGTAATTTGGAAACTACTTGAGTACTACGGCGTACCTAAAATATTCATTGACCGTATTCAACAGCTGTACGACAATAGCACATGTCAAGTAATCCATCCACAATGGAAAGCTCAGCGAGGCGTTTGGAGTAAACACAGGAGTCAGACATGGGTGCTTATTATCACCAATGATATTCCTAATTGTCGTGGACTGGATTATGCGTCAGACAGTGGGAAACGAGAAGACAGGGATATCCTGGACCAACGTGAAGAACCTAGAAGACCTGGATTTCGCGCGTGGATGATTTATGTTTGATGTCACACAAAATCGAAGACTTACAAGTGAAAACCGACAAACTGGTGGAAGAGGCTGGCAGCAAAGACAGGACTCCATGTGAACATAGACAAGACGGAGGTTATGAAAATAACCAAACAACCAACAACAACAACAGCAACATCCAGCGCCAATCACCATCGACGGGAGGGATTTGAAAGAGGTTACTTCATTCACTTATCTAGGGAGCATTGTCTCAACTACACGAGGAACGGACGGACGAGGATGTCAAATCAGGAATTGGGAAGGCGAGAAACACATTCATCAACCTGAAACAACCAATCTGGAAATCTTCGTCACTCACTCAGCATCAACAACAAAATTCGGACTTTCAATACAAACGTCAAGTCAGTCAGTTCTTCTATAGGTATCAGAAACTTGGCGGCGGGTCACAAACAATATTTCCAACAGCCTGTTGCAGACCTTAATCAACAACTGTCTTCGCTCTATACTGAAGATCAGATGGCCGGAAAGAATCACCAACAAGGAACTATGGGGTCAAACGAAACAAGAACCAATCGCTCAACAAATATGCAGGAGAAAGTGGAGATGGATTGGACACTCGCTGAGTGACATCGCGGGTCAGGCCATAGCTCGAGTGGAACCCGAAAGGGAAGTGGCGAGTGGGACGTCCAACGGTGACATGGATGAGATCGTGTGAAGAGGAATTGAAACAGTATGGACTAACATGGATGCCGGTGAAAAGTACAGCAGAGGACAGAAGGAAGTGGAGACGTGCAGTTGAAGCCCTATGTTCCACTAGGAACCCAAGGGAACAATAATAATAATAATAAGGTTTCTGATTGCAGTACATGGATGACGCCAGTTTGAATCTCCAAGCGACATCACTTTCTTCGACGTTATAGTTCATGGCTTCAATCAACAAACATATGTTGATATATATGCTCGATGTGAATTCCATTCATTCTCGACAAATGTTGACATCGTAGACATACAGAGAGAGATGACAGTTGAGGACAGACAGACAGACAGTTCACACTTTTTAATTATGCAACTATTTAACGAAAAAAACAAAAAAAAAACCGAAACAAAACATGATGGTAGCAGCAATACGACGACTTACATTAGTTAACTCTCCAATATGATCACACAAGCCTCGATTGATTAATACTCCAGCTAAATGTGAACCTGCTGAACTGATTCCATTCTCTGATATCTTATTCACAATGCTTATCACTATAATAATAATAATAATAATAATAATAATAATATAAGAGACACACATAATGACAACACAAGTTTATAAAGGTGAAGATGTGTGTGCATGCGTGCGTGCGTATGTGTGTGCGCGCGCGCAAAAATGGTAAAAGGTGGGTGAGAAAGAGATAATGATTCATTACAGTTAAATACCAGTACACACTTGAAACATTGAACTCGTGATATCCGACTATCGACCAAAGGGTGTGTGTACAGCTCAACAGTTCGCTCCTTCCTCCTTTATGGCTGTGGGGACGAAATGAATAGGCCGCCTAGCTGTCTTTGATCATAGGTGCCTGCATTCTATCTCCCATGTGTGTAAGATGTTGTATAGGGTGAAGAAAATTGAAGTTAGACTTCGGTCGAGTGATAGGTAAGGAGGGCAATCAATCGACGAGGTTGTGAAGTTACGACGATTAAGACGGCGAGGACATGTATTGCGCATGCATGTCTAGCCATCACCTTCCTTGACGGGTAATCTTAGCTGATTTAGGGCCAGGTTGGAAAAGAGCCAGTGGTGGTCAATCCAAAACTTGGCCTCATCAGTCAATAAAATCCACAACAGTTACTTTAAGCCAGCCAACCAGTCACATAGGAAGGTGTAGACTTCCTGACTGGTGACTTATCATATCCAATAGAACTCTATTGTTCTCCTATTCTACTATTTTTTCCTCATTCGCAATTCTGTTTATTATCTCTCTTTTGAATCACTTCTTACTTTCTTCTCTTGCTTTGTGCGCTAAGTGTCTACCATGTTTGAATTCCAGGGCAAAAATATATGGACAAACAAAAGGTGTAGCAATGGGATGGATCATCAATATCCTCAATCGTAGCAGATATATCTATGGACACCTGGAAGAATATGGTGGAGATATGTGGATGACACTTTCCCAGTGTGAAAAACAGTACACATCTCTCTCTAGCTTCTTGACGCATATAAACTCATTACTAAAGGGAATAAATTCACATTTGAATCGGAAAATGAATGAGGAGAATTAGCTATGGTGTAAGATTGTAAAATAAAACGAACAGAAGAAGGTAAACTGTACACCAGCGTTTATAAAAAACCAACGCATTCTGCCAATAGATATTTAGACCCCTTTAATTCATCTCATTCGGTAGTTGTCTGTAAAGGCAGGCTTAGTTAAGTGTCTAACAAACCGAGCAATAGCACTAGGTAGTACAACAAAACCTAAATGATGAAATGAAGCAGAGAGAAGAATAGCTGGTTGGTGTTAAATAACTAACTATCCCATAAAATTCATTAGGAATATCAAAAAAGGTCAAAAGCAAAATAAAAATAATGGGGAAACTAATGATGACAACATAAATAAGAGAGAATATAAGACATCTACAGTTTTATCATGAAAGGAGGGAACATCTGAGACCCTACGTAGGATTCTTAATGAAGCAGGAATTAGAGTGGCATTCAAACCTACAAACTCACTCAAAGACAAGCTCTGTAGGCTAATGGACCCGGTAGATCTAATGAAACAAAATAATATAATTTACAAAATACCCTGCAATGACTGTGAGGTCAACTGCATCAGGTGGGAACATAAGAATTTAGCTAAGGTAAGAATGGTTGACCCCACCTGAGAAGATAAGTAGTTTAGAAAAAAAGCTCATAAATTGCACAGCATGTATCAACATACAATTCTTGAAAGAAATCTAGGTAGATAGGTGGATATACAGAGAGGTTGATTACTGAATCTTCGTGTCATCGAATCTACAGCGAACAAATGCAGCAGGAATGACTCATCACTCACACACCGGAAATATGGAAAATACTACTACTGTAAGATCAATTCAATTCCCATCCTTGAATCAAGTCAACCTGTCCCGAATCAGCCTAGCGTTGTTGCAACCCAATTATCCATGCCTAACGTGTCTATCCCTCCTTGTTTAATGAACTGTGTGTGTGTTTTTTTACATCGATCCGTTTAGTCAAACCGTTGAACTCATGACCCAATCAGAGTATTTTTGTGAACTGTTATTTTGCTGACCCATGTCTTACTTTGTACTATTCTGTCAAGTTTATTTTATTTATTGATCTTCATCTGTGTCAGCATACCTGGTTAAGTAGCCAATTGAATTCTATCTTTGTGCCTATGCTTTGTCTATGTCTTACTTGGGTTCATTCTTCTACTGACTGCTTACCTGAACGGTCGTGTCTGATTCCGGCTAGTTCTCAATTTCGGCTTTAACGTTATTCCGCTCTGATAGCGGTTCCTTGCTTTCTGTTAAGCGTTGTGCTTTGTACTCTTGAAACCGTTAAGTACTGTAAGCGCAATATCACTTGAAATTAAGTCACGCGTAGAAACAGTGACCGGCTTCTTGTTTGTTCTGGACCGGGATAGCCTTTATCTACGCGTGACTTAATTTCAAGCGATATTGCGCTTATATACATCATGAAAAGTTCTATGTTGGAAATTCAGTCACGTTCAGATCGTAACGTTTATGTGTGTGTGCATGTGTTTATTAATGTTATAAAACTATACGTAGAAACAGGTAAAATTAATAAAGCATGAATTATATTTACATATGTACATATGCATAATATAAATTAACTTACACTCCATAATATAATCAGTAGGCCAACATCGAAACAGTGTATCCATATGTGGACTGTTAATAACAGTGATTAAATCCTGTGGAGTCATACGGGTTAGTTTATTAATGACAGCTTCAACAGTTTTTAAACTTTCTCTATGATCACCGACATCGTCATTATCACCATCACGATCATCATTCAGAGACTTGGAACAAACTCTATGAAAAAACAACAGGATGAAACAGATTTATAGTGAAGCATATAGAACTATAACTATAATCATAAGCATAAATAAATGACATACATATTCATTAAATGCATCGTCAATTCAATGGTACAATGCCCATGCCTCACATGGTCGAGAGTACGATCCCCAACCGACACACTCTAATTCCAATACGAGTTGAAGACATGAAAAGGTTGACTGTCTTTGATCATAGATGTCTATGATCTCTTTCTCACGTTAGGTGGCATAATAAGGTAAGTAATGTTGACGTTAGGCGTAGAGTGTTGGGCAAGGAGGGAAAATCAATCAATGAGGCTATAAAGTTACATAGATTGAGATGGCTAGGTCACGTGCTGCGGATGCCTAACCATCGCCTCCCCCACCCCAACGGGCATTACTAGCTGATATGGGTGCAGATTGAAAAAGAGTAAGTGGCGGCCAAACAAAAAACATGGCCTCATCAATCCATGAAATCCTTGACAGTTAAACTGAATCAGGTAGGGAGATGCAGACTTCCGGGTTGTGGCCCGCTCTCGGGACTCTAAGAATCAATGGCTGGAGACAATAGGTGACATGGCTCAAAATCGTTGTCAATGGCTTATGCAGATGTATTCAGTCTCTGTAATCTTTCATATTCCTTTCTACCATTACTCATTCTGTCTCACTCTTATACTTGTCAAAACTCTATTGATTCTCTTCATCACTCATCGTCTTGTCTACCTTTGTGTGCTATTTGGAACGTGGCAACTGGAACTGCTGCACATCGGTGCCAAGTTCTATGTTGAATCCATACAGAGACAGACAGTCGTATTTACATTTTCCAGAAACTGCATAGTAGTCCATTATTGAAGAGTAGGAGCGTAGGGATTTTTAAGTGATATCAATCCGTGGTCAAACTCATAAAAAAAAATCTAATCCTTACAAACCAAACTGTAGGAAATTAATCTGATGCTCGCTAGTAAGTTACACTAGCTACAGGACAGAGTTTCCCGCAGAGAGTTCTAGTGACAAGCCATCCATCACCAGAAAGTGACGTCCATCCAGTCAACTGTGAGGATGGATTTCCCACCGATGACATCGGTTGGTGGTGGTCACGCTAAAATCACGAAATGGTAAGAGTTAGAATTCATAGGCTAGCCGTTGAATCGGGTCTCGGCGGATGATCTTTGAGATCTGAATATTTCACAGACGCTTTTCAACTGTAATCTACTGATATTTAGGAAACACTATTGTTGTTACTAACAGCTGTAATTTTTTAACTTCTACGGACAAATAACTATAGTAGTAGTCGGCGAAGAGGAAGCTATGTATTATTATTATTATTGTTCCCTTGGGTTCCTAGTGGAACATAGGGCTTCAAATACACGTCTCCACTTGCTTCTGTCTTCTGCCGTACTTTTCGCTTGCATCCATGTTAGTCCATACTGTTTCAACTCCTCTTCACACGATCTTCTCCATGTCACCCTTGGAAGTCCCACTCGCCGCTTCCCTTTCGGGTTCCACTCGATATTTATTTATTTATTTATTTAAACGCATTAAAACTTGGTACAATATGGCACCAAGAAGGATGCGCCACACAATAATAATAAAACAACATAGATGAAAAAAAAAAGGAAGGAAGGCAGGAAAAGAAAAAATATATATAAGTAGAGAACGAATAAAGAACTTCATCTGAAAGGAAAACACTCATTCTTAACAGGTTCAAACAGTGTTCGTTAACTATCATCGGGAATGGAAGAAAGAAGGAAATCGCAACACGTTCGCCATTGATTACGATTCTTGGCCATATCCGATAACGTTTCGAGCCATCGATTTGAGCTATCTCTCAGACCCCAACCAGGGAGTCGTGACACACCAACCAATGCTAATCTAGCACAGAAATCCTTCATCCCACGACGCCACGTCATGGGCTGACCACCTCTCCGCCTTTTCCATCCCGTCCCAGGGCTAGCGAACAGAGACCTGTACGGAAGCCTCTGGGATGACATTCGCAGCACATGTCCAAGCCACCGGAGCTGGTGTTTCCAGATGACGACACTCAATGAATGGTGATCTCCACTGTTTTCAAACACACGCCGCCGAACCTCAGAATTACTCACGCGATGATGCCATCGAACGCAAGCAATCCTGAGGAGACAGCGGTGATCGAACACGCAGAGTCGCCTCACATCCTCAGCTCGGAGAGCCCAGGTTTCACAGGCGTAGAGCAGCGCAGCCCGCACCGAAGCATTGTATACCCGACCTTTGACAGTCAGGCTAACGTCGCAACGGCGCCAGAGGTGGCTCAAGTTGATGTATGCCACCCTAGCTTTCATTATACGGTTGGAAATCTCATCCGTCACCCCTGCGCCAGCACTCACACTACTACCTAGGTACACA